AAAAAATAAAAAACAAACAAAAAAACCCCCAAAACCTAGCTGACAGAATCTCTTGGATCAAGTAGACAGCCAGGCCCCACAACACCGTTGTTGTTGGTCACTGTTCACAAGTAACAGGATTCATATTTTCAACATCTCACTTTATCTAGAGATCCTATAAGAACATTAAAAAATAAATTTTTATAGCTCTTAAGTAACTGTAACTAAAGCCACATATCAGTAGTTTTAAAATAAAAAGGCACTAAACTTTCCAACTGATCTTATATTTGAATGTACATTATGTTATCCACAAATACATCTGGCAAGTTAGAAAAAAGCACATAACACCCTCTCTTTAAGGACTTTTAACAGAAAGGCAGATATTACCACTACACTCTGAGAGAAGGGACGAAGAGAGCCCTGGAAGGAGCGGACAATCTTGGGATTGTCCGGGGGAGCTGGCAGAGGCACAGAAGATGAGGGCTCAGAGGTCAGCCATCAGGCATCTCCTTCTTTCCAAGTACAAGCCTGCTTAAGAGGTGAACCCAGCTCATCAAAACCCAGCACATAGCAGAGAAACACGAACAAAAGGTGAAAAGGCTGAACAAAATTGTATATGAATGTAAGTATTCAAAAACTCGTAATATTGTAGCTATGTCATCATTTTAATCCAAAAACTAAGGAAATCTTTAGAAGACTAATGTTTACAATTACTAAACATCAGTGTGGCACAGTTCATCTATATGTACTTAAATAACATTTCTCCTTCTAGATCCTCTTTCAATAGCCACATCTAAACACTCGCTTGAGACGCTTTTATTTCTAGATAGGACCTGAATATCTACCTTTTTCTAGCACATCTGCCCCACAGCCCACCCTCCTGAGGAGTGCTTACCACCTCCTACCTCCTCACCTGCTCCAGCTGTCTCCTCTAACTGTGGTCTCCCTGGTGACCTCGGAACAGAGAGGCAAACATTCCGCCTCATCCTTTTAAAGAGACGGCGACCATTTAGTGTTCATTGATTAGCCCAATGACATCATCATGGTCACATAATCTCTTCAATGTAGTAAACCTACCCTCAAAATGCCTGCTTCAAGAATTCAGAAACTACCTGGAAATACACTTTTATATTTCACAACACTAAACATTTATAAAAGCAATGTTCTCAGGAATGAAAAACGAGTTTTAAAAATTCAAATTCTATATTAATCTGAAAACATAAACATATTTATGGATTTAAGTTCTGAATAATCAGAAAAAGTATAGTTATTTCTGTTAAGTAGAATGAGAGAAAGGACATATTCAGAACAGATCAGATCATTCCATATATGCAAAATTGATTTCTTTTTATAATTTCTTCAGCGCTAAGAATCTAATATAAAATTTCAGTTAGCTTGTGAAATAAAAACGTATGTATACCAAGGCAAAATTAAAACAAAAAATTGTTAAATTTCTAGCACAACTTAGAATTAGTGTATCACTCTACCCACTACCCAGCACATTACATGGGGAACATGGTCAATCACACCATATTAACACTTTTTTTTCTCAATAGGAAGAGAAAGGTGGGCTTCTCTGAAACTGGGAAAGTAAACAAACTGTAGGGTAACACTGAATGTACTGAATTTAAAATTATCTTTCTACATTTCTAAGCACAAATTTCTTCTCAGCTGAAAACTGCTCTACTTCCTACTAACTAGAAATAGGGATGATGCTATGAAATCTAAGGTTAAATATTATGTATGCATACATTTGTGCGTGTGTGCATGCACACATGCATGCAGAAATCTGGAATGCCACAATGGAGCCTATTGTCCAGACCCAGGACTTGAAGCACTGGGAACCTCTCCCCACTCCACCTCCCAGCCTGAACCACCTTGGCATTTGAGTATTCCAGCCCTACCCTGACTTCCTTCTGGCAGACCTCTATGCCAGAAGTGAGAAATATGGAGGAACACACTGCATCTGGCCAACAGGAAACACCCTCCACCCATTGCAAAGATGTACTGGCCAATGATAGAGGCCTGTGTATACATGCTGCTCTCCACTAACTTCCAGCCTTTTAATGTAAAATGTTTGCTACATCGAGGCCTTCTAGATGTAAAGAGGTTGTCAATGTATGATAAAGTAAAGTTAAAAATGGCACCTCTTGCAAATGTCCATTTTTTTATTGTTTTGAACCCTAAGGCTATATTAAATAAAATGATAAAAGTGGACATTATTGATTTGTTCTCAGGCTTTAAGGTAAAGTATCTAGTCTTTCACCATTAAGCAGTACTTTTATATAGGCACCCTTTCACAGGTCTAGAAAGTTCCTTTCTATTCCTAATGTGCTAGGAATTTTATTATAAATGGATGTTGGATATGTGAAATATTTCTGTGTCAACTGAAGTAATGTTTTTGTTGTTGTTCTTTAGTCTATTACACTGTGTATTGTATTAATTGACTTTTGAATGTTAAATCAACATTACGTTTGAGAAATACTCTACTTTGGTCATGGTGTCGGTCATTTTTATATATTCCAGGATAGTTTGGTAAAGTTTTTAAAGGACCTTTGTGTCTGCATTCATTAGGGATGTTCAATCATATCGTTTCTTACATGTGATGCTTTTGTCTGGCTCTGATATCAACATAGATCTCATAGAATGAACCAAGGAGGGTTCTCTCCTCATTCTTTTGTGTGTGTGAAAAAAGGGGTTGTGAATAATTAATATTGATTCTTCTTCACATTTAGTAGAATTTATCGTGCAAGACATCTCATTCTATGTTTTTCTTTGTAGAAAGATTTTAAAAATTATTTCAGTTTCTTTACTTGTTGTAGGCCTATCTATATGTATTCCTTGAGTTTACTTTGATAATTTGTGCCTATCAAGTATTTATGTCTCATATGTCGTATTCCATGTTTCTAAATTTTCTGCACTGTTGTCATAGAAGGTTCAGGAAGTGCAACATAGAAGAATGAGGCTTTGGGGCTGGCCTGGTGGCGCACTGGAGAGTGCCCCGCTTGGGAGTGTGGCGGCGCTCCCGCTGAGGGTTCGGATCCCATGCGGAGACCGGTTCCCACTCACTGGCTGAGCACGGTGCAGGTGCAACACTGAGGGTTGCAATTCCGTTGCCAGTCCCCGGTACAGGCGCGACACCGAGGGTTGCGATCCCGTTACCAGTCAGTAAAAAAAGACAAAAAGGAAAAAAAAGAAGAACGAGGCTTTGGTGTGATTAATGACCAAAAGTTTCTTCTGATGTAGGATGGAGAATATGACTATAATTATTGTACTTAATACTCATATTTATTGTGTGAGTCAAACAAGTTATTAAATCTAAAGGAAAACAGTGAAGCATTCCATTTGACTTTGGGTTTTATCAAAATAGCACATTAGCCTACCTCTTGTGTGTGTGTGTGTGTGTGACCGGTAAGGGGATCGCAACCCTAGGCTTGGTGTCATCTGCACCGCACTCAGCCAGTGAGTGCACCGGCCATCCCTATATAGGATCCGAGCCTGCAGCCTCAGTGCTCCCAGTGCCACACTCACCCAAGTGAGCCGCGGGGTTGGCCCAGCCTACCTCTGTTTTTAAATCAGTATTTACACAGACCAGAAAAGCAAGTTTTAATAAAAACAGATACAAATAATTTGGTAAATAAAAAATAAATTAAACAAATAAAATTTGACAAATCAGAGTATTTACTTAGCCTTCCCAATGTTAGAGCTAAGAGTTTAAAATGTATAACAAAAAGATTCATGGAAAATGACAAAACTGACACATTCATAATCATATTAAGTGACATTACAACCATTACCGAAATAAAAAGTTTTGGTATACAA